TGAATTTATTAAATGTTCTTTTAAATATGAGCTTATCTTTTGTAACTCTGTGACAGAAAGCAGAAAATAAATAAGTCTCTTGCATTCTAAACCAGCTATAGTTCTTAGTAGTTTTTTTTTTTTTTAGTTAACCTATTACTATGTAACAAGCCATCTGACAACTTATTGGATTAACACAACTCTCCTTTTATTTGCTCATGAGTCTGTGAGTTGGCTGGGGCTCAGCTAGGTGGCTCTCCTGCTGTTCTCTCTGCTTATCTAGAGTGGTTGCAGCAAGATGGTGGCAGGGGCTGGGATATCCAAGATAGCTTCACTCATACGCCCATCACCTTAATGGGGTCAGCTGACAGTTTTGATCTCTCTTTCTACCTGGCTTGCTTGGTCCTCCATATATGGCAGCTGAATATCAATAGATGTTCGGAAAGTCCAATATGCAAGTGCTTATCAGGCTTCTGCTAGCATCATGCCTGCTAACATCCCATGGGTCCAGCCCAGAATTGGTGTGGGAGGGCATGACACAGGTTGTGACTACCAGAAGGCACATTCACCGGGACCACTAAAATAATATGCCCCGCTGGCATATAGGAATACACAAATATTTTCATTGAATGAGTGATTTAAGTATTTAATGCAGAACAGTTCACAATGCTTCACTGATGTAACTACTTTTTAAGGTTAATTTGCATTCAAATGATCCCCTTACTGTTTCTGTAATCTTCATTTACTTATTTACATATTTATTTATTTTGATGATTCACTTGGTCTCCCCAATCTGTACACACTCAAACATGATTGAAAATTAGTTTTAAACTTGGAAGAAAAGAAATTTCCTGTAACTCAGGCTTTCTTAACTTTTGTTTTGATAAGGTATACTGATTATTTTTGCAGGTATCTATATAAGTATTACCTAAATTGTGAACCATAAGTATTCTTCCCTTCCCTTGTAGCCTCCCTGAGTGTGTGACACTGGAGAAAATAAAATTCATCCTTTGCCCTAAGGAAGATCAGGCTCAGAAATATAAATTAAACCACAGATGAATTGAAAGAAACTTGAGACAATTTAAGAGGATGTGATTTTGTTTTGCAAATTGTAGTCATCTACAACTCCCCATTAATAAATTTAAGAATTAGCATACTATTAATGAATTGCTACAGAGGAGAAAGGACGGTAAGAGGTAAAAAGGAATTTTAAAAATTGTCCTTTTTTTCAGTTTAGATTTTATAAAGTCCTAGGAATTGCTATCATTTGAGGACAATTAGAAACAAAAATGAAAACAAAGCGTCATCCAGAAAAACATTGGACGTGGCTCACGCATGTGGAAGTCCGGCTTTTACAGATGGGTGAATATCAGGACATTTCCAAGGCGTGTAATAGTCTTTCTCTTGACATATTTAAGGAACATTTTAATTTATGAGAAAGGTCTGATAGATGATTACAGTTACAGAACCGAAAATTGCACTTAGGTGTAGCCTTCTGATTTTACTTAAGTGCGGCACTTCCCAGACTTGAACGTGCAGGCAGATCCTGGGGATCTTACAAACCTGCAGGTTCTGATTCAGTGGCTCTGGGATGGTGCCTAGGGCTCTTCATTTGTGACAAGCTCCCTGTGATGCGATGCGGTGATGCTGGTCTCCAACCAGCTCTAGGAAACTTAACCCTTCTATGGTCTCCATCCTCCCTAAGCCTCTGAGGTAAACCTGCTTAATTCCCACACAGCCTGGTACGTGGATTTTCACTTCTGTCATTGACCATCAGCAGGACAAATAGAAATCCTTTTGGCATCTTTTCACATATGCTCAAGCCATGTATTTCACAACTAGGAAATACGTTAATTTAAACTGTTTCCTTTGGTATATGGCGTAAAGTCATTTGTGTAAATCTGGCCTCTGCTAGTGGTTCTGTGAGAGGGGACAAGGGTCCCAAGGTCTGGGCCATTCTTATGAACGCTATTCTTGATAAATGTTAGCCTGGAGCACAGTAGCACAATATTTCGGAGACCAGCTGCAAACAGGCTGAGATCGACAGGAACCCAGCCTGGTAAGTGTAGCCGGCTGTGAAGGAGAAATCAGCATGTAATGAACCAGAGTGTGTGCACCAGCAATGGCTGAGCCTCCCTGCGGGGAGAAAGAGCTCAGAGAGGAGTCCTCGTCTCCTTCACTTGCTGCACGACTACCTCGCGGCAACCATGTCTCATTTCTCAGTAGAACATCTTGAATTCACTAACAGTATAACTTGGAAACCAGAGAGTTATTTGGGTTACGTCAAATTCATTAATCCATCAGAGATGTCTTATCAAACCCCTCACATCTGGCTATCGACCAGGACTTCTGCTTCTATCAGATCCTCCTTCAAAGCCCAGGTATATGGAGGGCCAGACGCTCTGTTCTTCCAGCTGTTTGCCACGTTGGGAACAGTGTGTCTCTACCAACATAACTGACTGGCTGCCCGCCCACCCCCAGGACTTGATCGGAACCAGGGAAACTTTCTTACTTTACTCTGGTGCATTCATTCCTCCAGGCCTGTTTCTCATTCTGGGTTTAAACATACCTCTAGAAATCCGACGTGCATTGCTTTTTATGCAGGTTTTTCACAGTATATTCTTTCTCCCAGTCTTCCTTTGCAGAGGGAAGCATAGTAAGTGCAACCCCGTAGATCCAGGCCATTCGGACAGCCCTACCAAAAAAAATTGTTTTTCAGTTAGACAGTATATTTGATTGGGAAATTAGGTGCTAATCTCCACCTAAGAAGACAGAGCCTGTGGAACCCCGTGGAACGCAGGTTTTGAACGGGCAGTGTGGGTAACAGGAGTGAGGGCTTTGGGATCAGACACACCAACTTGGATTTGAATCCAAGCTGTGTAACCTGAGGCTGAACCTGATGGAAATCATTTTTTTCTAAATCAGATGAAATCTGGTGAGGATTCCTCCTTCTCAGGGGGTGGGAAATTTACTCTTTGTCATTGTTGGCACTCCTCGCCTCCCGGGAGGAAAGTGTGCTTCTGAGGGAGGCTCGGTCAGCGGCTCTGCCCCACTATGGCCAGCTCACCCAGGGGTCTTAGCAGAATTCCCCGCGACCATGTGTCCACCAGCATCCCCAGGAGAAGCTGCCAGCCACCTGCATCGGGTCCCAACCCCAGCAGCTGTGAGGGTCAAGGCTTTGCCCTTCATGGGCCAGCAGCCCTTCCCCTCTCAGTGTTGGGGAAATCAGCCCCAGGGGTTGAGTAACTCCCATTTTCAAGGCCACAACCTTCACACCCATAGCTCTGAGGGCTCCCAGCACCTTCACTCCTTTGGTCGCCACCATGAACACTCAGAGGTCTACAGGTTGGTCCACCCCAGACCCAGTGAATTCTCTTCTGTTCTAAAACACCAGCAAGAGACAAAGCTATTTGCAACTACTGCTAACGTGTGTTGCGTGCTTACTTGGAGTCAGATACCATTCTGGAAGACCATTAAGTATCTTCATTTTAATTCGCATAACCATTCACATAACATAGTCCATTTTTACATGTAAGGACATTGTGGCTCATGGGGTCTGGCCCAGAGCCTAGGATGAGCGAGTGGAAGAATCTGCATGTGAACTCAGATTAGCTGGCTCTTGGTAACCAAACCCTGGAAATGTGGTTGCTGAGCTCTCACATGGCCAACGACGGTTCCACCTTGAGGATGTTTCTTCCGTGCGTTTCCCTTACCTGAAAAAATCAGCGTGGAGTAGTTGCATTCTGCCTTCCATGTCAAAAATCTGTGCTTCTGCTCAACTGCTGTTTTACTTCCAGTCTTTTTAAGCAAGAAAAATACCATTTTTTTTTTCATTGAAAAGAGTGCAGAGCTGCAGCCATCCCCCTGGAAGTGTAGCTGAGTGTGGGGAGATACCCAGTGACTGCTGGTCGAAAGGAATGGTTCTCAAACCCTCCAGTTTGCTGAAGGAGCTTGCAAATTACTCTCTCCAAAGACCCCCAAAGCCGACTCCCTTTGAAAAATCACGTAGAACTTAAAAGGGGTGCAATACAGGAGACAAACAACCTTTGTCCAAATTTTAAATAAAGCCAGAGATTCTGGAAGCCAAGTGCTCTCTGGAGAGAAATGTTCAGTAGGTTGTTTCTGAACTATTAGAAAAGTATATGGGATAGGCCCAACGAGAGTTCACTAGAGGACAGACAATGCAAAACTAATGTTTCCTTTTGTGAAGAGTTCACACATGAAGGGTAGGGTATGTTGTCGGCAGGTTTTGTCTTGATTTTATCAAAGCATTTGACCAAGAATTCTCTGAAGATGGTGATGTTGATTAGATCAGTGGTTTCCTTTACTTTGTTTTGTTGTTGTTTTTTAATCCTAAAACCAGATTCTAAACCTCCATCCCATGTCTATCGGAAAGGAATTACTGAGAAAGGGGCCCAGGAATCCATGTTACTAAAGCTCACCTGGGGCCAGTGCAGCTGGTCCATACACTGGTATTCGTAAACCAGAGACTGGTTTCAGACTTTTGGGGGACAGGAAATCCTTTCATCAAGTGAAATCTTGGATGAAATCTACCATATAAAACACATACAGTAACATTTTACTTGTATAAAATGTTTGAAGTTTACATTTATAATGCTTACTGAAGAATAAGAACAATGAGACAGTTACAAAGACACTAAAATCTTAAATCAGGTGTTGATAGTAACTCTGATAGCTATATTCATATTACCAGCTTCTGTGTTTAATAAAATTATATACTTTGCCTTAAATGCATCATATCTTAAAGCCCAATGTAGGTAATTACTTGGAAATGGTAACAAGAGTTTTAGTTTTAGTTTTGTTTTTAAGTAAGTTGCCTTAGAATCCCAGGATATTTCTCAGTGCAGCCAGCCTAAGGGAGGGAATATTTGTTTCAAAACGGTAACCCTGTAACTAACTAACCTTATGGAAACAATTGCTCACATTCCTTATCATAAATCTAGACTCATACAGGAAATATCTAATTCTTAGAATAAATATTTACCCTCTCTCAAGTAGGATATTATCACAAAGGACTTTCTACTGTGATGAAAGCAAGGCCATCCAGATGCCCCCGAGCCTCGCCTGGCACTCAGTGGGAGCCCTCTCAGGAGTGGCCTGGTATCCGTGTGCTTGCTTGACCGACCTCATGAGAGCAGACCGTGCTCACCAGTATTTTTCACAGGCTGAGGTGGAGCTGCCGCTTCCCTTCGGTATCGCACTTATAAGAAGTCCAAGAGGTGCAGAATGAGTCCACCGTGGGGACTGCCTAGATCCCCCAGACGGAGTCGTTGGCACCGGGTACACAGTATCTGCAACAGGTGGGAAGTTTGCACATGTGCCATTTCGGTGTCATTTATAAAATAATTACAGTTTATAAAAATATCTAAAATACATTTAAACATTAGAAACAGATGGTGGTGGTATCTTTGGAGCACTTCCATACGAGTCTTTTTAAAAACAGTAGTCTAATATTGACTGGATGCTTGATTTGTGTTGGGAAAAATGTTTGGTTTCCTGGGGAATACAGAGATCCATTTGGGGACAACTCGGTAGTGTAGATGAGGAAAAACCGATAACTCAGAAAGTGAGTTCATGTGCACAAAGAAAGGACAGACTTCCTTTGAGTACAGATGGAGGAGTGACCTCTTCTGGACAGAAAATCCGGGAGGACTTTCTGGAAGAGGAGACTTATGTAGGGCGGTCCTGTGGGCATAGAGGACTTGGATATGAGACTCTTAGGGAGAAGAAGTGATGTTCTAGGCCACTTTAGCTTCCGAGAGCGTATACTTTTAGGGAAAAATAATGTAGCTGACACTATTCTCTTAAGCAGATTACCTTCTTCATTAATAAATGAGCTCTATATGCATTTTAAAAAGTACTTCATTAATAATCTCTAAAAGGGACCATTCTCAAATATTTAAACATGCCTGAGGTTTTTTTTTTTTTTTCCAGAGTTACTCCCAGCAGACAGCGATTTAACTTGCTCAGATTTAGGCCTTTCCAGTGATATTTTGCCTAACTTGGCTGCCCCTTTAATACCTACGTGCATCATAAATTTACCCTAAGCCTGGGCTCTGTAAGAATGATAGCCACTCATTCTTCATGTGTCCACCCACTCGGGCATACTGAGCACCTGGTTGCGAGCCAGGTCCTGGAGAGTTCGAGGCACCCAGCAGGGGAGCAAGTCAGAACTGGACAGGTGAATCGAGTACCTGGAAACCCCCTACAGGTCTTATCATTAAACTGTATTTTAAAAAGATAACAGTGTAACTTTCCCTACAAACTGATAACAGCATTCAGTGTGCACCTCCCAGAGCTCGTACGTTTCAACAGGGATCAAAGCTTTTCCTAGAACTGCCTCTCTAATCAGGCCGTGTGTGAGGGGAATTGTGGTTTGAGCCTTGGGAATTTTCCAGCTTATATGGCCTTTTAAGCAGCAGGGTTGGTACTGTCCTATCTGTACTTTGTGGTGGGGACAGGCTCTGATAACTCTCCCCAGGAAAGTGGCTTAAAGAAAACTCTACTGTACAGGGAAAATCAGTTAGGTATCCTGTAACAGAAAAGAGCTCTTGTTGCAATTTTGCTTTTCTGAGCCTAGAGAGGGGGTGCAGCATACTGCAGATACAGGCTGCTGGGTGCTGTTGGTCAGTGGGCAAGTCACTTAACCTCTCTGCGCATCTGTAAATAGAGATGATTTCATGTAATAATAGTCCCCACCTCGAAGGATTACTGAGGGACAAACAAGTTAATATATAATACAGAGTGTTTAGAATGGTGCCTGCCACAGAGTAAGCATTAGATTACAAGTAGCTATTAGTGTTTTTCCAGTTTGTCAGTTTTTCTGAGAATATGTAGTAGATATAAAGTAAGAGTGGGTAAGAAGCTAGATTTTTTTAAAAAAGGATGCCTAATTCCTCTCCCCCCTCCTCACACTCCCCACCCTCCTGCCCCACAGACCCCAGAGTTATTTATTTTGTAAGGCTAGAACACCATATTTGAATGTCTGACCTTGAACATTTCTGATTAAGTAGTTCTGGGCAACGCTTTAATAGTTGGAAAATAAATCAGGCCTCCCACACGTACCTGCTCAGCCAAGAATGTGTTTGCCCCGGGATCTGTGGGTGGGCGGGAGTGGAGACAAGCACACGCCCAGGCCCATGTGCACTCTCCGTTCTTGCAGGAAGGAGGCTGTGCTGGCCAGCGTCTCCCCGTCGTTTCTTTCCTTTCTCCTAGAGAAACAATATTTTCACTTTTAAAAAATGCTTATTCTCTCTCCTTTCCCTGACCTCAGGGGGACACCCCCCCCCTCTTCCCACTTGTTCCTTTGTTTTCTAAAATCTGGCCCTTTATTTGTCCCTTGGCATTGCACTGGGCAGGCTTCTCCCAAGCCCAGCGTGGCAGCGCACGGGATGCGATGATGAGCCACAGGCTGCCTGCATGGATCACAAGTTCCAAAGTCTGTGGCCAGGCCTCGGGAAATGTCCCGGGGTTGCTGTGGTTCTTGTAGTGGGGACTTGAGGAGACCCCTGCCCCTTGGCCCCCGCCTTTGCACGGGGTGTGCTACAGGTGTGCGTCCTGAGGAGGTGTGTGAGGGTGGCTCAGTACACCCTGCAGAGAGGCCTAGTGTCCTGTACATGCCAGCAACATCAGGACACGTGGTCTGTGTGGCCTTCGGTTCCTGGTTCCTGGCTTGGTTCATGTTTTTCTTTTCAGCCTATTGAACATTTAATCCCACTGTCCTGGTTAAGTCCTCTCGTGAGAGCAGGTGTGTTCCGAGTGTGAGAACAGGCGTGTGTCAGGTCCATCCTGTGGGAAGCGGCCTGGGGTGGGTGGAGAGAGGGCTTTGCAGCCCAGGGACACATCCTCGGCCAGAGCTAAGCTTTAAGGTCACTTGACTCCCTTCAGTTTCCGCCGGCCCCTCGGGGTGCTCTGCAGGCGAGCTCTCGGGGACACGCCTTTCCCTCTGCTTCCTTCTCCGATTAGGGAAGGACTGGGGACGCCAGGCTGGTGGGTGTTGGGTGCGTTCTTGGTAGGAAGTGGCCTGGCTTCCAGGTGGGAGGCTGGTATTTGGGGGCCTTTGCTCAGGAGTTAGAATCTGGATGGGGCTTTCCCAAGAAGCCGCCTTCTCCCTCCTGGCCGACAGGAACTTTGGAGGCAGCAGAACTCACTGCTCAAATACATGGAAGAACTGGCAAGATTAAAAGGAAAGAAGATTTTGTTTTGAAAATTATACAAACAGCCTCTGATCGAGGGTAACCACCAGACATCCTGTTCTCAGCATGTTTGCTGCTTGTCCTGTGCAGCTCCGTGTGGCTGTGCTCAGGGCCTCGTGATGTGAAATACAGACCTCCCTTCACTCCCAGGCTCGACCCGTCTCGTCATGGGGAGAGCCACTGTGCTCCCCTCTGCAATAGGGAAGGGGGTGGCAGTTTTATATGCAGAAGGCCCCACCACCCTCTGCCCGGAGGCTGTGGCCTCTTGGTCAGGCCTCCCCCACAGCCGCCTGGGTGGGCAGTGCCACCTGCAGGGCCCAGAAAGCACCTTGTCGCCATCAGGGCTGCAGCTCGGAGAGACAGTGGGGCCGCAGGAAGCAGGCTGTGGGAGGTGTCTGTAGGGTGGGAATGTGTTCACAGTCACCCGTGAGGGGTTGAGGGAGGACGCTCAAACTTATTTGGGGAAATTTTATTATTAAACAACATGTGCAGATATGTGTATTTATATACATAAAACGAAATATTTTGGGACTATTTCAAAGCAGTTAGCTGTTAACAATAGATTGTTACATACATAAAATGATACCTAAAACACACATAAGATGATAAACCCTAATGAAGGCCACAGTAATTCTTACCTTTCTACATAGAGTACATTCATTCAAACTAACTTCTTCCCAGTATTGGAGTTCCTTCTACCGTATACACAGGCGATAATCCAGGCATCATCTCTTCACTTCCCTCCTCCCCTCTGCCTGCACTTACAAGTACCCCCCGACCCTGCCCTCACAGGCCTCGCAGTCAGAGCATGTGCAGCAGAGGAAGGCGGCACGGGCAGCGGGGTGTGAAGTGACCGGAAGAGGAGCAGGCTCTAACCTGCCCCGAAGGAGGGAGACAGGGATCACAGAGGACCCTCCAGGCCCAGTGCTCAGGAGCGGAGCGCCATGGGACCACCCTCGGGGAATGGCACGCAGCTAGTGTGGGTGCGAGGTGCAGAGGCTGGCGAGGGGCAGGGTAGGAGGCGGCAATCTCAGCAGGGATGGCGCTCACTGCTTGGTTAAAAAAAATAGTTCTGTGGCTAAAAGTATATTTTGTTAGAAAGTGTTTACTTACATTATGGCAAATCCTTCTCCTTTTCTACGTGACCTCTGGGTTCAAGTCAGAAGAGCAGCACAGAACGTGCCTGTCTGCTCCCTGCCACGTGCCTTCATAGGTAGCTGGTCTGTCGATTCCTGACACCTTGCCCCAGGCGGTGTATACCTTTATCCTTCTCAGTAGATTTACTCTAACCCAGTGATGATTCTGTGGTCTCTGCAGAGTCTGCCAACAGGGGGGTGTGGTCTCCTAGATTGAGCTCGTACATCTCCTCTCCAAAGCAGTTATTGCCACTGCACCCTCATCTCTTCTTTTCTGCTGGGTCCTCCCCCTGGTTTTACAGGATCCCGAGGGAAGCAGTCTGGGAATTAGTCCAGCTGCCTTCCCACCATACCATCTCCTTCCGGTCATCTTAGGGTCCTGGAGAAAGGAGAAGTCGGCCTTTCTCACACATGCCCTGGGATCCTTGTCCTAGAGAAATAGTGTTTTTTTGTTTGTTTGTTTGTTGTTGTTTTTTTAATAATCTCACCACTTTGCTTCTTACACTTTGGAAGCAAACTAAGAAAGAAGTACATACCTGTTATAAAAATGAATTGGGATGAACTAAAATCGCTCAGAAGTTAAGGGTCGAGAGGGGAATTTTATAACTCAGGTTCCATTTTCATGTGAATTACCTGTAGTTAGAGAATGTCGGTTATATATTCTGCAGGAGCGATTCGGTCGTATGTGTCACGTGAGAGCCCTCTGCCTGAGAGTGGAGGGATTGGGCCCTGGAGAGGAATTCCCAGGGGCTGCTTGTTACGGAAGCCGGCACCGCGAGTAATCCCTGATAAAATATCCGTACCTTCCCGGCCAAGCCAGGGTTGCCTGTGGATTAGCCTCTTTACAAAAAAAAAAAAAAAAAAGGTTGCGATGGAAAATGTTCAGTAATTTTGGAATTACTCACCTCCTGTAGAAGCCAGAAGCTTTCCTGTTAGCAGTGGTCCTTTGCAGGGACTTCTGCCTACGTG